AGGAAGGTTGAGAACCAATGGAAGGCGGCCAATAGCCCAGAAACTTGGTATTTTAGAGCCCTTTTAACTTCATAATCTCTATGATGATATCAGGGCAAATTATATAGTGATTTTAGAGAGCAGCATTACCCAGTAAGACTTTCTGCCTTGGTGAGAATATCTTATATCTGTGCTGAGGTAACCATTAGCCACCTGTGGCTTGCAATGTGGCAGGTGCAGCTAAGGAACTTCATTTTAAATATTATTTCAATGAACTTAAATGTCAACCGGCACTTGTAGCAACCATTGGCTACCATAATAGCAGAAGAGTTGTAGCATATCCTTTAAATTCCCATTTTCCTCAAATCCAATACTGAAGTCTATTGAAGTCATTTCTTAGCACCGGAAATCATAATGGGAGAGATTACATTATTTGTACTTTTCCATTCCTGTACTTTGGAATTACACAGACCGTTTCTATCCTGGGTACATAATATTTTAATGCTTATGGAAATACCCTTAGTAATACACTCTAATTATAATATGTCATTGTGGGAGGATCCAGCCAGGTCTCTTTCATCACCTGTGTTTTTAGTTTTAATCTTAAAAAGGCTGTAAAACTAGTGTCCTGCAGGAGAAAAATATGCTTAAAGTGTATGCTCATGGTGAGCTAGGGATTATAAAGCCTTCAAACTCCTGGACACACTGGCTAAAGAGAAGTCTAAGAGGCAGGTAAACGTCTCTAAGGAGAAAGGATGCCCTCAGATATAGCTTCTATCACAGAAGTCCGGGGGAAGTGGCTACCCTGAGGCTACTGGGATTTTCCCTGGTGAGTACATTCTTCCTGTGTTGGTCACCTCTCTGCTATGTTTTAGAAACTCACCCTTATTTGGCCGGCTGTGAATTAAACCCTCCGAAAAACCTTGACAAAAAAGGCCGGTATTTTTTCTAAGATGTTAATTTCCTTGCTGTAGGCTCATGTGGGCTTTGCCTGGAAACTTAATCTGTGTACTTCAGCTCTGAGTTACGTTTCAGCCGTGGAAATGGGGCTTACTAGGAATTACTTAATACCTTCGGAGTCTGAGGACCCTGATTTTTTTTTACACAGTCTTTTATCTTAGGCACAGGGATTTGCATTTTGAGAGGTTGTGCCAGCTGACTTGAGCCCTCACAGGTTTCAGCTTGTTGCACACCCAGTTCGGTCCATTTTTCTTACTTCTGGAAACTTCTGCTGCTGCCACTCATGGCTTATAGGTTTACTGTGGAATCTAGCCCTTGTCCTTAATTGTCTTCTGCCCCTATCTCAAAAAAAAATAGTACAGACAGCTAGGCATTTAATACAAAACACGTTCCTTAAGAAATCAGGATGGAAATTTAAGTACAGATGGCCTCCAAGCCAGTAGACCCGTCTCCTTCCAATGGGACATCTGTCCTAGCTCTGCTGTTTCTCCTTCCACGTCCTGTAGCCTTTGCGTTCGAGTCTCCCATGGAGCTAGGAACCCAGGTCATCTTGGATTTCATTCCATCAGTGTTGTCCAGGAGAACTCTCTGTGGTAATGAAAATGTTCTATGTCTACGTAGCCTGGTCATATGAGGCTACTAAACACTTGAAAATGGCTACTGCAACTTGAAAATGAGAATGTGCTTTTATTGAACTAAAGTTGAATTTAAAAGCCTCTGGCCACCGAATTACACAGTGCAGCTCTGGATTGTCCCCCTGACTTCAGAACTGTGTGTTTTGAGAGAAGCTACTTCTCTTGGCTGTTCCATGATCCTGCACCTTCATGAACTAGCTCTTTCCAGAAAAGAAACTTTTGACTTCTGAGCTGACTTCTTTATACAGCAAATTTTGACTAATGAACCTTGAGCTTTTTTATAAAAAACAACAACCCTCCATGCCTGGGTTCAACATTTCCCCCCCTATTGTCCTAGTCCTTCTGTGAGCGCATCTTTATTCCTCGTCCAGCAACTGCAAATAAATACTATTTTTTTAAACAAGTGAGAGGAATTTTCCAGAAGGGTAAAAGCTTTCTCCA